CCTGACCTAAATCGTCCGATGCTGATTCTACTTTCACTCTATCTGAGCTTCATCGAGCTGTCTCTTTCTTCCAACGTAACACTTCGCCTGGCCCCTAATGGTATTGCCTATCCCCTACTTAGAAACCCTGGAAGGAGAAAAACGGTGCGTAGCATATGTCCTAGCCTCAGTTGACGGGGTTGTGAGAGGAACGACGGTGAGGGTGAGGGTAACCTATTCTCATTACTCTAACGAGATTATCGGGGTTTAATTCGTATTCGCGGTTATGAATGTTGTAAAATATTTTTTTTTTCTTGGCTGGTGATCTAGCAATGTAATAAATTATTTTCAGGCAGTAAATTTACCAAATTATTGATTACCGTTGCAATTACGCTTATCACGTATATGTTGACAGTTTGAGAGCTTTAAACAAGGGAACATTTGCTAGACTGGTTGAATCTCATAAAAGATAAGGGACAAGAATAATATCAAATCAAATGAGGCACGGCATACCCACAATGTCTAGTTCCAACGAAGTTGCAGATGTAGACAAGTTGTATTTTAGAAAGACATCAATGGAAGGACATGGCTCACGAAACTCCAAACTAGGCAAATTTACGGCGTCCCCGTCATGAGGATAATACAACGCTTCAACTCAAAAGGCCTATGAACAATAAGGAAAACACATTTTAAATATTTATACGAGAGGACACGTAGATTTTTTGGCATGGTAAATTAAGAAGGAAGGTTGATCCGTCAAACTGTGACCGTAGAAATCCTATCAAGAAACCACGATAATAAATGATTATTTAATGTCCATTCCTCGTCAAGATACGAGTACGAATATTGCCTGACCTTAATTTGGCATATATATATATATGTATATATATGTCAACGTTAAGGTAAGGCAATAATTGTACTCGTATCTTGACGAGGAATGGACATTAAATAATCAATTATTATCGTAGTTTCTTGATAGGATTGCTACGGCCGCAGTTTGACGGATCAACCTTTCTCCTCAATTTAGCAAGCCGAAAAATCTACGTGTCCTCTTGTTTAAGTATCTAAAATGTGTTGACCTTATTGCTAATAGGCCTTTTGAGTTGAAGCTTTGTATTATCGTTATGACGGGTGCGCCGTAAATTTGCCCAGTCGAGTTTTGTGTGCCATGCCCTTCCAGCGATGCCTTTCTAATATATAACATGTCTACATCTGCAACTTCGTTGAAAGTAGCGAAGTTTAACTTTTTGACATCCTGCGCTACGTTTTGTTTTTCTCTCTCTCGCTCTCTTTCTTTATATATATATATATATATATATATAGTATATGCATATGTCACGAAGGAGGGTGAGTGCCACCGTGCTCAATAACAATTACTCGGCCGCTCTGAGAACTTTTCTTTCTATCGCCAAAATAATAAACGCGGGAAGCTATTCCTAGCGGTGCAGGAATCAAAATCGTATCTCTGTGCCTTTTCACTCACGTGTTGTTGTAGAGGTGCTTTGAATCGTGGATTCCAAGACTCTAGATGTTTTACGTGTAGTAAACGCAGAAGGTCCAATTGTAATGACGTTACTGGTGAATCTCGTCATTACAAGTGTTGATCCTTTTGGAGTTCCGGTTGGCTTAAAGGTGCTGCTTGATAGCATCAGAGATGTTCCCTTGACATGAATATCGATCCCAGGATTAGCGGGTTGATCTGCCGATGGGCGATATACATCAGATCCTTTGCCGCTCGGTGATCCGGAGTCACTGGGGTTTTTTGTTGGCCCATCCGATTCAGAATCTGTTAAATCAACCATTAGAGCAACTGTTACTGTATATTGCACTTAAACACTTCACTATACTTATCACGCTGACAAAGATTAGGCTAAAGAGACTGTTAAACCAACTTACCTCATGATGTGTGTGTTGTTTTTGCTGTCTGTGTGTGATCCCTATTGAAAAAACCAGCACAGGCTGGACCCAGCATCGCAGCTTAAAGCTGGGTTAATGCTCCAGCATGCCCAGCTTGTCGTGGCCAAGCTGGTCTCAGCACAAGCTGGTCCCAGCATCCCAGTTTCATGCTGGGTTATTGCTCCAGCATGCCCAGCTTGCTGTGCTGTTCAAGCTGGTTGGATGCTGGGTGGTGCTGGGTAAATTCTGGGCAAATGCTGGGGCATGCTGGATGAACTGGTCATGCTGGGGCATGCTGGTGGACTTCCCCACCAGTTTAACCAGTTTAAATTAATACACAGGATAAACAAGCCAAGCTCTTCAGAAAAGCCAGCTCGGCATCAAATTTATTATTTTCGTATTCGCGGTTTGCTCAAATGAGCTCAGATGCCACATATCCTCTGCGCTAACATTGTACTAACCGACTCAGAGACAGTTGTTTTCGGTGCAAAACGAACAATCTCTGAACACAAAAAATACTAGACACACGCCAAAAACAGACAATAACAATAAAGAATAATACACGGATGAGAGAAGCGAAACTGGGTCCCGCCAGTAGTGGGGGCGAAGCGGCCTCCTGCGTAGTCGGCAGAGGCGAGGAAATCCGTGTGGCTTGGATGGCATTGGCCATACTCCTCGGCACCACCGTCATTCACGAGCACACAAATGTTCGAAGACACAAAACGACGCCTCAGTTGGGGCATCCGATTTCTTCCTGCGCTGAACAAACTGCCGCTAGCTGTCTCCTCAAATCCCGCTTCGCTTCCACCGTTGTTCAAGTAGTCTCCAAACAACGCGCACACAGCCGTCCCTTCGAGAATCTGCCCGAGATAGCCAAACGTGTTTCAAAATTTCCCTTCCTACCACCCTCTCAATCTCCCTTTTCTCGCACACAAAGGAAGCTCGTAGCGCCCCTGAAGCGCCCGGTAGTCTACCGAAAACGTGAGAACAAAGAACAGGACATTGCCTCGTCCTCGCCCCAGTCGACCTTGGCGCGCGCACTCCCAGCAATGCCAGTTCGACAAACTCTAGCCGACCTTGGCGTGCGCGCTCCCAGCGAGAGCAGCATGACCAGCTTGAACCTGCTTGGCCAGATTCAGAAACAGCTCAAACCATCTTGACAAGCTTGAACCAGCTCAGGTACCAGCTCAAACCAGCTTGACCATCTTGAACCAGCTTGACAAGCTTGAACCAGCTCCAGTACCAGATCGAACCAGCTCTTGTACCAGCTTGCCCAGCTGCAGTGAGAGAGCGAACCAGCTTGAACCAGCTTGACCATCTTGAACCAGGTTGACAAGCTTGAACCAGCTTGAGTACCAGATCGAACCAGCTCATGTACCAGCCTGCCCAGCTGCAGTGAGAGCTCGAACCAGCTTGAACCAGTTTGACCAGCTCGAACCAGCTTGATAACCATCTAAACCAGCTTGAACCAGCTCGAACGAGCTTAAAAACCAGCTAAACCAGCTTGATTTTTTTGCTGTTTTTTTTTTTCAATAGGGATGACTAGTACAAAACCGTGCATTTTAATTTGTCCTGCGTGTAAACGTCAGTAGGCGGTATGGATTCTGCCCTTGCTATTGTTCTGCGGCACGGAATCGAGCCAATTTCGAACGTAGAAAGATTTTTTCGTTCTTCAAAGCTTCGGAAAGAAAAAAATTTAGCGATGCAAGCGACGTGTACGCCGTACAAGAAGCTACAAGTCTGGTGTCGGCGCGCTGCCACTCGCAAGTACAGCGAACTTCTTATGACGTCGAGCTTGAGGTGAGCGTTACGAGATACGTTAACGCGTAGTTCCTCTGTCCAGTTAAAGCGATCAGCTGATGACCAACTTCCAAAATGCGCGAAAGCAGACGCAAGCGATCGAGCGGCGGCCGGCCGTCTGTTGGCCGAGCACATCGTTCCTACTGCGCGCTGCTTCTCGAGCTCTCGCAGCCTTTCTTGCGTATTTGCGCGGTAATCTTGATGCAAAATAAAATCAGCAGTAGAAGCTTCGCTTTCAGCACATGCTTGTTGCCCTCTGTAGTGCTTTTGTGCGCTCGCACGATCGTTTTTTCGAAGGTAGCAAGGCTCTCGCTGGAGGCGGTGCTTTTACTGCTGATCTCACGCTGGAAAACACTTAATAAAAAAACAAAGTACTTTATTTGTACTCGGGGGGGGGGGGGGGGATTTTCGTACAGGGCCACAAAAGGCAATGCTGCCCATACCGGAAAGAAGTTGTGTACCCAATCTGGGGCACATAAATGCATTCCTATGCATAAAAAAAAGATTAGAGGAGAAAAAATAATCAGTTTGCTCCACTGGTCAGGCAGCATAGCATGTTCCTGTTCGCAAAATTCGCATGACACACGTTTCGATGTATGTCACGATAGAATGCTCAATATGCCGACTTTCGATGCTGGTGAGCTCATAATTATCTGCTCACTATGTTTTGCAGGGAGCATGTATGGTTTTTCAACTGTTAAATGCGCAGTGTACGTTTTGATCAGTTGGCTATTTACTCTCAATTTCAGCTTGCCCCTGACCGTCGTATTTACAATGGGAAGTGCACTTGCAAAGCAGGGTACCCTGGCACATGCAAGCATGCTGCTGCCATGGCACTGTGGATTAATGAACAGCAGCCCCTGTCCAAAACAGAACTGCGACAGGCTTGGGGACACCCATCTCGAAAACCCAACATCGATGCAAAAGAGTTGATTGAGGAACTGTTTAAACGTAAGCCTCATATTGTTTGCTCATGGCCTGAAACTGAGATTTCATTCTGGTATTTGTACCTGTAATTGCATTCTCTGCCAGTTGTGTTCCATGATGTCATTTGTATCTAAACAAGTTGCACTTCGCAGGTATAAAAAAGCTGTTTGTCGACGGGTCACGGCCTGATCAAGTTCCACCGTCATATGTCCTAAACCAATTTCCAGAAATTGCATGCCCTCACAACGACATGGCACAAATTAGTTCCATGAACACTGCTGAAAGGGAGGCGAAATATGTGATATCGGATGTCTTAAGTGCAGTATTTCACTAGATAGAGCTTGTACGCCTGCTGACGGTGGAACTTGAGAGGGCAAGGCAGCACTCATGTGTGCACTATGTCTAATCCTCTGATCTTCTTCACGCAGCTCCTAATCGCTCAGGCTGCTTTGGCCTGTCCGTTGTCGCGCCAGCATGACCCAGCGGACCGCTCCGTCACTGTGCCACTATCAAGTTTGAAGACTACTCAAGGACACGTCAGCGGCATCACCTTCCTCGCCGACAACGAGGACGACGGCAGAAACAAGCGCCTCGTCTTTGACGAAAGCACAAGATCGGCATCGACATCAACCGTGGCCTACGAAGCTACAAAAGGGCTGTCTGAACGGTTCGCCATCAGAGGGCAAGGCAGCACTCATGTGTGCACTATGTCTAATCCTCTGATCTTCTTCACGCAGGTGAGTAATTGTCACTCATTGCATTGTAAACGATCAAGCAATACTTTCCTTTTCCTGCTGCCTTGCCCCCGGATGTGCTTAACCTTATTTATTGAGTGCATTTGTGTCACTCGTGATTTATTGTTAAGCGGTGACATTGAATCGAATCCGGGACCTGATGACTGCCAAGGGGGTGGTAACCCTACAATGGAAGAGATGGTGAAGGCGATTCTGGACAGACAAAACGTGATTATGAGAGATCTAAGTCAAATAAAAAATAACCAAAAGCAATTTGAACACAAATTTGAAGGTCTAACAAAAAAAGTAAATCAAATTGAAGCAACAGTTCAAGAAATGAAAGAACAAAAAGTTCAAATCATAAGCATTGAAAAACATGTTAAGGCAATCGATGATGACTTGAAGGAATGCCAAAAAAAAATCGCCGACTTAGAAGATCGGAACCGCCGTAACAACCTCATGGTTTTTGGTCTCCCAGAGGCTCAAGGGGAAACAAATGACTCATTGCGGTCGAAAGTACTTGGTGATGTGTTTGAAGAAAAACTTGGAATTCATGTTAATACAGTCGAGCGTGTACATCGCGTGGGGCGAAAAACAAACAAAAACCGCCCAGTTGTAGTTAAATTTCTTGACTACGCAGAAAAGGAAAACGTGCTAAAAAAGCGAAGGTGTTTGAAAGGGACTAAAATAACGTTAGAACACGATTATTCTTGGCAGACTATTCAAAAGCGCAAACAGTTGTGGGAAACCAGTAAACCCAATCGCGATAACGGGGAAACTGTCTTCTTGATTCACGATAAAATTAAGATAGGAGGCCAAGTTTTCGAATGGGATGATAATGTGGGGCAAATATGCAAAGAAAGAAATCGACCAACTCGACAAAAAAGTGTAAAATGACGTCAAGCACACTCCGGGAAACCCCATCGAAAGACATTTCGACTTCTTTCCTTCAATGCGCAAAGTATTGTGAATAAAGTAGATGATTTGGAAACAATCTTGCTAACTCATGACCCCCACGTGATCGTCATCACGGAAACATGGCTTCACAGTGGTATTGGTGATAATGAAGTTATTCCGCCTTGTTACAGAATGATTAGGAAAGACCGAGGGTTAAGGGGCGGCGGCGTGGCTATTATCGCAAAAAGTTCGGTGGACCTGGTACCTTTAGATTGCGTTGTCAACGGGGAGGTGTTATGGTGTAAGGTTAAAGTTCACGGCAACGTGTTTGTTGTTGGTGCTGTATATAGGCCACCAAACACCGCCCCGAGGTTTTTAGAAGAATTGTATGATTACATGGCGTTGCGCTTCAATGACAAAACTAAAATTATTTTGACTGGAGACTTCAATCTTGCTGATATTGATTGGGCAAAGCAAAAACCAGGTAAAAATGAAATCGCGTCCTCCGAGCTTTTGTTAGATATAGCACTCAGTTTTAATCTTCAACAGTTAGTGGACAGCCCGACAAGAGTAACAGATACGAGCCAATCGATTCTGGACTTACTTTTTGTTAGCAACATAGTGGAAGCGGATAAAGCACATGTGCTCGACGGAGTGTCAGATCATAAAATGGTGTTTCTTGACTTAGAACTACATAAAACAGCTGCCGATAATGCTCGTCACGAACGTACTGTCAGAGATTTTCAAAATGCTGGTGATGTGTCCATCCTCGATTATTTAGATGAACATTTTGACCATTTTAGTCAGTTAAGTGATGTTACCGAATTATGGAAAACATTTAAGAGTATTGTTTCCTACTGTACATATCACTTTGTTCCGACTAGCGGCGTGAGAGCACAACGACATCACCCATGGGTAACAAGAAAAATTTTGCAAATAAAGCGAAAGATCAAGCGCAAAAGGAAAGCAAAACAAAATTCCTCAGACATTGCAAATTTGGGGCGACAATTGAAGATTCTTATTTCCCAAGCTAGGGAAAATTACTGTGGCAATGTGCTCTCTCGTTTCTTGCTGGGATCTCCGCAAAAATTCTGGCGGTTTTTCTCGTCGAAAAAAGAAGTAATAACAGAAGTGATGGTAAGCGATGAGGTTGTATCATGTCCCATTAGAGTGGCAGAGGAATTTAACACGTATTTTCAGTCAGTCTTTACAGTCTCGAGTGACCCGCCGGTAGACCACGTCAACAGCTCTGATGAACCTTGTATGTCAGATTTGGTTGTCTCGGAAAGTGGTATACTTAATTTGCTTCTGAATATTGATGTAAAAAAGGCGTCGGGGCCAGACGACATTTCAAATGCATTTCTGAAAAGATATGCTGAGTGGGTGTCCCGATATCTTTTCATAATATTTCAAGCCTCTCTCCAACAATCCAAATTGCCAGCAGACTGGTTGTGTGGTAAAATTATACCCATTCACAAATCTGGAAACAAAATGACAGTCCAAAATTACCGTCCTATATCATTAACGTCGACTTGCTGCAAACTGCTGGAACACATGATTTCAAATCATGTCACTCAGTACTTAGAAGAAAACAACTTAATATACAAACATCAGCACGGTTTTAGACGGGGTCTATCGACGGTCACACAATTAATTGAGTGTGCGCATGAGTTCTCATCTGTTGTAAATGAGCGGGGTCAGGTTGACGTCGTGTTCATGGATTTTTCAAAAGCGTTCGACCGCGTGCCTCATAACAAATTAATTGAAAAGCTTCACCTTGTGGGTCTAAACAGCAATATAGTGTCGTGGGTCTGGTCTTACCTAACTAACAGAACACAGTATGTCTACTGCAATGATGCATGCTCTACCCGCCTTGCAGTGTTTTCAGGTGTGCCACAAGGGTCGGTATTAGGTCCACTTTTGTTTTTACTGTATATAAATGATATTGCAGATGATATGCCGCCAGCTGTCCAGGTAAAGCTATTTGCGGATGACTGCATGTTGTTTTCAAAAGTGCGTACAGTCGAAGACCAAGACTTGCTTAATGCCTCTCTAGAAAAACTTTACTTGTGGTGTGAAAGGTGGGGTATGGTAATTAACTTTGATAAAACAGTATTCTGCAGCATTACAAACAAACGAAACATTTTAGAATATTCCTATAACATAGGTGGCGTGCAACTGCGAAAGGTGGACGAATTTAAATATTTAGCATTGAGCATAGTTGTAACCCGAGACTGGGGATACGGACAAGGGACAAAACACAGAACGACAGGGACGAAGTCTCTGTCGTTCTGTGGGATCTCGGTGGGACCTCATTGAGACTTCGTCCCTGTGGTTCTGTGTTTTGTCCCTTGTCCGTATCCCCAGTCTCGGGTTACAACTATGCTCAATTTACACCAGCTAGCCTGCACCCTCACCATTGCTTCATTAAATATTTAGGTGTTATTTTTAGTTCTACCATGCGATGGAACAGTCATGTAGATTACGTTTGTTCAAAGGCCTACAAAAAGTTATTATTCCTCAGAAGACAACTTAGGCATGCCAATAGTGATGTTCGACAACTTGCGTACATGTGTTATGTTCGCCCATTGTTAGAATATGCATGCACTGTATGGGACCCGTATAGAAAATGCCACGAATCACAAATTGAAAGAATACAAAATCTGGCTCTTCGATTTATCTTCTCCAGATATAAACGTACAGAATCTGTTTCTTCAATGAGACAAGAGGCGCAGCTTGACTCGCTGGCAAAGCGACGGAAAATATCAAGGTTAAAAGAACTCTTTTCCATAACGACTGGAATGACAAAGCTAGATCCGCAGCTTTACTTGCGGCCTTCAACGTCTCGTTCCCAAAGGACTAGCAACGTCAGGGCGATTGCTCCGTATCAATACAAAAATGATGTATTTAAGTATTCTTTCTTTTGTAGGACAATAGTAGAGTGGAACGCTCTGCCAAACGAAGTCGTCAGCTGCTCTAATCTCAAGTCATTTGAATTATCATTGCGCGAATTTTTAACTGAATAATGTATGTGTGCGGAATACATCTTCAGATGTGCAGGGTGTGACGCACCACTGCATGTGCATAAGTGCTCACTTGAGTGTGAATGCATTTTGCTTGGCTTGTACAACTTATTTTTCTCTCCTGTGTTGACCGTAAGGTTCACAGTATTGTAAATAAATAAATAAATAAATAAAAAATTATGATGTGGGAAAAGTGCATGCTTCTTTATCACGTAATGACTGTAAATTTCGAGTCGTCCATTGCATTGAGACTCGTCTGTTCCAACCTAGAAGAGCAGATGACGCCAGCCGAGGGAGAACTGTATTCCTCCAAAGTGGCGTCCACGCAGCAAGGTGCCGAGTGCATTGCTGTGGACACAGTGCTTCAGGCAGGCTTGAAAAGGCATGTGCGTTTTAATTTTTTCGATGAAAATATATGACCTCGTTACGACCTTTTGTTCTGTGAAGTTGGTATTATGCAATAAATATTTACAGCGCAAAGTAATCAAATTTTCAATGTGGTCTTTACATCCAAGTGGTTCAGCGAACGTGAAATCAGGCTGTCGAGCTCCATCGCCCACAGAGTCGTCGCTCGAAGGCGGCCATTCGACACCCTTGCCCAAAAGCTACTTCACCGAAAGCCATTCGCTGGGAAGTCTATGACTTATGGTAACATGATTAAACAGTATTCACATGCACGAAGCCCAAATTTGGTAGTATGCTTATTTTGAGTGACATCCTTATCCTGTTTATCTTTATTAGGACGAAAGACAGAAGGTGAAACCAGAGAAGCATTTGAGAAGAAGGTTGGTGTGTTAGTTGCACAGGTGAGTGAAATGCGCAACTATGCTCTGTTTCACCATAAAGCGCCTTTCACACACTTGAAACTGAGTAGGACCGAGGGAGACAAGACCAGTTTTTAAGCGTCTTGCGGCGGCGTAGCACCTGCTCCGCAGCAGTGCATGTGGTCCTATGCTGTCACAAGAGGCTTCAAAACTGGTCTTGTCTATCTCGGTACAAGTCGGTTGCAAGTGTGTGAACGGCACTTAAGTCAGAGCAGTCAAAGGCTACGTGACATACCGTACCAACACAAAAAAGTGCGAGGTGCAACACGCACAGAGGAATGTTGAACACAGCGACGCTGTGCTTTTGCAGGCTACATCGGCTTGCAGTGTTTTTGTGCTCTGACTTAAGCTGAAAAAGGCATAGTGAAGTTTATTTCCCTTTTGCAGCAGCATTCAGCCATCAAGTTTACGTCGAATTTTAATAGCCAAAAGAAATTTTGAATGCAGAGGTGCTCGTTATGGTAAGATTCATATCTTTGCATGACAGACACACAACGATTACTTGGTGCTCCCCAAGCAGTTTTCTTAATTGAAATTGTATGCAAAACTCGGAGAAAGTGTTATTGGCGAACAGTTTCCTGTTACATTTTCTATTACATTTGTGTGCCAAACTTTTAGTTTTGTATTTTTTTTTGCCTATTAAAGTTCTATTAAAGAAGTGTGTGTGAGTGTGCATGATCACCCTAATGTCACAGCCAATATAAACCCAGGTTGGCTTGATTGTGCACTTGAGGCAGCCATGGCTGTGTGCCAGCCCCGACGGAATCAAGACCAGCGGCGGGACGACACTGCTCGAGATTAAGTGTCACTATTCAAGGAAAAACAACTTTCTTATTGATTCGAGCAAGTAAGAAAGCTTTGTCAAGCACATAGCGTATGAAGAGGGGCGTCTGATGCTGAAGAAGCGCCACACACACTACACGCGGGTACAAATTGCGATGTACGTGACAAAGACTAGCCAGCGCTTCTTTTACGTGTACTCGTCGAAGCATGATGTCACCATACTTGTCGAGCGGGAGGAAGGTTTTCTTTCGGAGGCTGTCCCCAGGCTCGAGCTCTTCTATTTTAGATACTACTTGAAGGAGCTCATTCAGTCCTAGACTCCGAGGATGCGCATCGAGACAGAATGAGGTTATGCAAGCTTTATTTTATACGAGCCAAATCTAAAAAGCAAAAGTAAGCCAATTTTCGCTGGTCTCGATTTTTTTTTTTTTTTGGGGGGGGGGGGGGGGGAGGGGGGTAAATACCTTGTTTCTTAAACCTTTTGAGGTGTAAGTATCTAGTTTCTTAAACTTTTTCTACCTAGATAATTATTTTTGTAAAAACAAATTATGGCCATCAAACATTTGCACATATCTTGGTTTCCCTTTTGGTCGGTTTAACAAAAAAACTCAATATACTAACCAAATAAAAGTGTTGTGATAGCTGTCAAGTGGATATGAAGGAGTTTAGTTTGAGTTGTCTCAAAGATTGAGCATTTTTTTATTCTTCTACTTCAAGGATCTTTTTTGTCACAGATACTTCTTGAGAACTCATATTCAATGCGAAATCTGCAATAGTTCTTTTGTTTATAAGTGCCAATAAAATCGACACACAATGTTTTGTGTAAACAATATTTCGGGAGAGATACTTATTGCCGTGAACACCTTGCCAAGTGTTGATTGCTGGAGAAATTTACATACCTACAGCCATTGAGTATCACACAAACAGTTTGATTTTCTAATATTTATTGGATGCACAAATTACATATTTATCAGATTTCATGCGTAACTAAAACACCATACAAAAAGCAAGCTTATGCATGGTTATAGAGATGGTGAGCACATATGCGCAATAGCAGACAGGAAACCGAAATTACCGCTTTTGCAACATTCAGAAAATCATTGTGCATCCC